TTCTCCCTCTCCCACTCCCCCTGCTTGTGTTCCCTCTCTTGCTGTGTCTCTCTCTGTCAAATAAATAAAATCTTTAAAAAAAAAAAAAAAAAGTGCAGCATGGTAACATATTTGTCAAGTATTTGCTATCTATAATGCATCTCATTGAAGGGAATATTTCTGGATCTTTCTATCCCAGTTTGTATGTGTGGTTACATGTATATACCTTCTTGGTATCAGAGTGCACTTGAAGTCCAGTATGCTCAAAGGTAAGGTCTGTCTCCTTGGCGAGATAAAAAATATTATAGCACCTTATTAATGGGTACAAGATCTTCCTATTTACAAATTAACTCTGTAACAGGTCTACATAATTGCTGTAGAAAGACATAAAAGCCACAGACAACCTTTGAAGACTACCACCTGTTCAGAAGAGAGTGTCAGAAATGGGTCGTATTCGTCAGATGGACTGCTTGACTTAGTCCACACAGACCTGGGCACATTGAGTAGGCTCTGGCTTGCTGCGCTTCAGGATTTTGCTCTCTTAACGTTGCCTTCAGAATTTGCCTCCCAACTTCCTGTTGAAGGTAAGGGGTTTGTAAAATATGTACATAATTCCTAGAATAACAGTCAGTAACTTTTCAAAATTTATCCTTTAGCAAGTAATGTTTAGCTGAAACATTTTCCCCATAGTAATTTCCATTTATAGAATAAGGATGTGAGAATTGCTTCAGGGTCGATACCCTGAAGTTGACCTGCTAGGTAATAAGGCATGCACATCTTACCTCACAAGGTACTGCCAAATTGCTCTCCAAGCAGCTGTAAAAATTTATATGCCCAACATATAACAGCATGTTTCTGTTTCACTAGATCTTCTACCATTGTATGTTGTCATACTTAATAAATTCTGTCCATTAGGTGGATATGAAATAGTTTTTCATTGTTTTATTTTGTTATTTTGTTGATTGAAAACCTTTTTTCATATGTTTATGGGCTAAGTTTCTTCTTCCATCAATCACCTAGTCATAATCCTTGACCATTTTCTACTTGGTATTTGTCATGATTTTACTGATTTGTTAATCCCTTATCTAATTTTAGTATTATTCTTCTGTGATTGCGTGTCTTCCAAGTCTAGCTTATTCTTTTATCTCTCTAAAATTAGTGTAGTCAATCGTTTATGGTTTGTGGTTTTGTGTAATACCTGATAAGTTTTTTTCTAATTTAAGATCATAAAGACCTAGAAGCATTACAGTTTTGTACTTTACAATTTGGGTTTTAGTGCAGCTAGATTTTGTGTGTGTGGAATGGGATAGGCATCTAGTTTTGTAGTCAGTTATTAACCTGCATTTTATGGATGGATATTTGGTAGCCACTTTTACTCTTCATGTTATTCCAGATGCCTTTTTTTTTTTTTCTCTTTGATACGAATTTCAGGTCAGCCTGCCAACTTCTATTTAGAATTTTAACTGGAATTATACACAGAGAGATAGGAGTGTTTATTGTACTTTTCAGTAGCATCAAAATGGAAATAAACTAATTTATTGGCATAGTATGTCAGCTACTAGTGAATGACAGATATAAATCAACATAAGTAAATCTCAAAAATATAAAATTAGGTGGAAAAAACACAAGTTCAAAAAGGTTACATACAAGGTGGTGCCTGTTAAGTTAAACACACATAAGAGCACATATTATTTATAACTACAAACATCTGTTGCTAAATATAACATATTTATATATGTTATATATATAACATATATAATAACATCTGTTATGAATACAGATATCTATTGTGGGAGTGAGTCACACTGTTATGAATACAGACATCTATTGTGGGAGTGAGTCACACTGACTTGAGGAAAGTGGTTATAGAAGGAGGGATAAGAATTAATGGTATAACAAAGTTTTAGGGTTTTTTGTTTTTTTAATAAGTGATTTAAGAGAGGCAAAATGTTAATGTTAATCTTATAAGTAGGTAAATGGGTATCAGTATTTGTTTGAAACACACATCACATAAATTCCTTAAAGGAACTTTTGAGATGATGGGCACGGTCTGTTATCTTGTAACACCGAAGAGAGAAAATGTTGTGGGAGCTACTCTCTTTTGTTCCTCCTGAAACTGCTTCTGCTTTTTTTGTAGGTGGTGCTTTCTACACAGCAGAGACTAGTGAAAATGCAAAATTGCATTATTACAGTTCCTGGGCACTTATCCTGCATGCTACAGCATTGTGGCTTACCACCACAGGCTTTGTTGTTGCTGACCCAGATGAAGGAGCATCTCATCTCTCAAGACCTGTAACACCAACTTCCATGTGTCAGGGTTCATCATCTGGGGCTACGGTAAAGTCCCCTGAGGATGTCTGCACTGATCGATTCCATCTTATTTTAGGTCAGTAAAAGAGCTAACAAGCTTCCAGTCCTTCAGAATTTTTCTTGAATTGTGCCTTACTGCCTTTCAGCTCTTGGTGGTTATTATCTCATCTTTGTTAGGTGTTAGTGATAAACTTGATATAACTGAGTAAACTTGTATACATTTTATAAAATTGCAGATTTCATTAAGTCTGGAATCCCATTACAAGCTGGCTTCAGCATCATGTTGAATGAATTATAGAAATTATAAAACCTAGTTTTTTCCACACAGTTTTTTAAAGATTCATGTGGTGTCTATAAATTTTTAAAATTTCTTTCTCTATATATTAAAAAATACCAATATACTGAGGGGGTCCACCTGCATTCCCCATCCCCACCCCCAACCTCCTACCTGCGTTCTCAAGGATTGCAAGGTTCAAGAAAGTCTACTCAAAGGTATAAAATTGCAAGCAAATATTTAAGGTCAAAGAGATGAGATTTTTAGGTTATGAAGTTTAACCCATTCTTTGGCTTTCCTGGAACTTCATTTTTAAAGGGAAATATCTAAAATAGAGTGAGTTTCTAGAATAAATGAAAGAAATGTTTTTCATATTTTACCTAGTTCTTGGAAACCAACCCATTAGATCATTACCTATAAAGAAATTATTAATTAAATGAAATATAAGGGTTACAAAGATAAGTGATTAAATTAAGTAAGGTTTATGGTTCACAGAATCTCTATTATTATTCCTTCTCAGGCCAGACATGACCACAATTTCCTGTATCCTTGGGTATATTAAAATTTTGTTTCCATTTGCCTTGAGACAAGAGCTTTTTAAAAACAAACTTAGAGAATGAAGGATGGCAGTTACTATGGGCATAAGCTATGCAATTTGACTAAGTTCAAATTCTTTGTGTACCCCATTGTAACTGACCTTGAGCAAATTAAATAACTTAAGCTCTATGTGCTCATCTCCCTGTCGGAAAGAGTGTTAATAATACCATGGAGCATGGGACTCTTGATCTCAGGGTTGTAAGTTCGAGCCCCATGTTGGGTGTAAAGATTACTTAAAAATAAAAATGTTAAAAAAAATTAAAAAGTATCTGCTTCCTCAGGTATTGTGAGAATGAAATGAAATGATATGTGTAAAGATGCAGTGCTTGATCCATGATAATCACTCAGTAAATTTTAGTAAGAATAAAGTTATGAAACTCTACATGTTGGGGCGCCTGGCTGGCTCACTTGGTAGAGTATGCGACTCTTAATCTCAGGGTCATGAGTTCAAACTCTGCGTGGGTCCTACTTAAAAAAAAATTTATTTATTCTTAGGATTTTATTTAGAGAGAGACAGCAAGAGGGAACACAAGCAGGGGGAGTGAGAGAGGGAGAAGCAGGCTTCCCGTCGAGCAGGGAACCCGATGTGGGGCTCGATCCCAGGACCCTGGGATCATGACCTGAGCTGAAGGCAGACACTTAATGACTGAGCCACCCAGGCGCCCCCCAAAAAGTTTTTTTAAATAAAAAACTCTCCACATTAAGTTCTCTAGTGCAATTTTGTAATTTTTTGCATTTTTGAGCTATTTCATAGCAACTACTCAGTAGTGCACAAGCCTGATTGAGATTATTCTTCATGTACTGTACATGTGGATAAAAAGAGCTAAAAGACTTGCTTTATTACTTAATTGTTTAGTCTTAAAATCATTGTGGTTTTTTACTTTACCTTTTTGCTAAGCTTATTTGTATATCTTATCTAAATATAAAATGAATTCCTTAACTTCCTAAACTAAGAATCTAAAAGAAGCCTCCTCTTTTTCTGTTTTCTGCAGGGATCAGTGTGGAATTTCTCTGTTCCTTACGATCAGATGCAACCATGGAAAGCATTACTGCTTGTTTACATGCATTACAGGCCCTTCTAGATGTTCCTTGGCCCAGATCTAAAATTGGCAGTGACCAGGTGATTTCTTACTTTTTTGTTAGGCTTCTGTAGTTTTCAAGGAACAGGAATAAAAACGTGTTCAGGTTACCACAGCAAACAGAAAATGAACACAGAGAAGTAAAAGAAAACTAAACTGCACGACTTGATCTCTCAGAACTGGAACGCTGTCAGCACCTGTGTAGACCCAGGAGCAGTAATGCCTCTGACTGCCACTTCTGTCTCTGCTTCTGCCGCACTGATTTCTGCTGCTAACCACTCAGTGTACCAGCTCTTCAGTCGAACTTTCAGCAATGAGGGGAAGGCACTGTATTGAAGTGGCCAGTAGAGTAGCCACCGGTTACATGTAGAATTCCTTTGTTTTTCTGCTTCAGTGCACCCTGTTCTTTATATACATCTGTATCTTCGATTCCATTTCCCCAAGAGAGAATCTACTTGGTTCATATAGTTATGTCTATTACAGAGTATTGCTATTGGCTGAGTTCTCCTTCCTGGTTTTTAAAGAGATTACTGGCTAGCCTATAGGTGGAGTCAAACACTAATATCTGACCCAGTTGTGACCATGATAATAGGATCACTATGAAAGTATGGCACTTCTTTAACTTCTTTCCTAAGAGAAACTATGATTTTCTCTCTAGGTAGACTATAATTTAACCTGTTAACACTTTTGTTTATTAGGTTTAAATTACTAATCAGCGTCTTCCCTGACTGGGATTATACTTGAATAAATTCTAAACTTTTTGTTCTTGTTTATTCTGTATATTAAAACAAGTACAGTAAAGACAGATTTACTCTATTATTTTCAAAGATGAAAGAAAGCCACCAGAGTAAGCATTAGAAAAGAAAAGCAGAAAAAGAGACTGTTTGTCCAGTGTATTTTATTATTTTTTTTAAGATTTTATTTTATTTGAGAGAGAAAGTGAGTGAGCACACACAAGTCGGGGGAGGGGCAGAGGGAGAGGGACAAGCAGACTCCCCGCTGAGCAGGGAGCCTGACATGGGGCTTGATTCCAGGGCCCTGGGATCATGACCTGAGCCCAAGGCAGATGCTTTACTGACTGAGCCCATGGAGGCGCCCCAGTATATTTTATTCTTTAGAGGGATATCTATTTTGTGCTTATTAACTTATCACTTTTTAATGTCTCCCTTCTCCATCAATCTTTGTTCTTACTAGAAAAGCTCAGTACAGATCTGGAAGTCTGGATGGCAGTGCTTTTATTCTTCTAGCCAGGTTTCTCACCTTGCTTTGGAAGTTTCCCTTTCCATTTTCCCATTTTAGGGCCTGTGTGAAAATGATCTTTTGTCATGGTGCCAACTCCTGCAAGGTGGGACAAAAACCAATCTGGAGTCCATTTAAAGTGGAACAAGTGTTACCTAACTTTATTGTACATACACCTTTATTTTTTGTGAGCAATTTGTTAATATTCTCTTTTTGAATTTTTTCATGGCATTTAATATTGGTATTTTTAAAAAAGAAGTATGTGATTTCCAATACAGTTTCCCCTAAATGTTTTCTCTATGATAGGACTTGGGCATCGAATTGTTGAATGTACTACATCGAGTAATTTTGACCCGAGAATCACCTTCTATTCAATTGGCTTCACTTGAAGTGGTAAGACAGATTATCTGTGCAGCTCAGGAACATGTCAAGGAGAAAAGACGAAGTGCAGAAGGTGAATGTTAACCCATAATGCAAAATTAATCATATTATAATCACATTAATCAGCATTACTTTTTTAAAGTATTCTTACATGTCTATGTTGTTCTGATAATGTTTTGTGTGTAGTAAAAATGAAACCTCTCTAGGTATGGTTTTAAGTCCTTTTATCCACCTCTACATGTTAGCTTGGATTTTGTTAGTAGCTAAGGTATTCCTTGGGAAAATGAGAATATTAACAAAATCCTGGAAGGGGAGAAAAAGTCCTTTATACTGGTTAAGTACTTACTTTAGCTATGAGTGTTTACCAATGTACATGGAAGAACTACTGACAGGTTTTTTTTAAGTTTTCTTTAAGTAATCCCTACACCCAACGTTGGGGCTCAAACTCACAATCCGGAAATCAAGAGTTTTATGCTCCACCTATGGAGGCAGCCAAGTACCCCATAACTACTGACTATTTTTTAATGACTTATGTTTTGCAAAGTGATTAAATTGCTTGTTTGTAAGTCTAATTTGGTATTGATGAGTTTATCATTTAATATTACATTTGACTACATATACCAGAAAACTCAATCTGACAGTGGATTTAAAACACAAGGTCTTGTTCTGTCATCTAAAAGAAGTCCCAGAGGCAGGCAGTCCTGAACAGGCATGGCAGTTTCTTAAAAAACATAGGGACCTCGGTTCATATCTTTCTGCCCGCCATTATCGATACTTAAGAGTACAAGGTAGGCACTGGAGCTGGACCTATCAGGTTCACATTCTTTTTTTTTTTTTCCTTTTTTTAAGATTATTTGAGAGAGCGAGCAAGCACAGAGGGAGTGGCAGAGGGAGAAGGAGAAGCAGGAGAGCAAGGAGCCTGATGTGGGGCTCAATCCCAGGACCCTGGGATCATGACCTGAGCCAAAGGCAGACGCCCAAATGAGCCATCCAGGCGCCCCTCAGGTTCACATTCTTAACAGCAAGTTGTTAACCAGACAATATTTTAAAGCTGAGAGGGTTACCAAGGATTTCTTTTGATCTACTGCAATAGGTAGTCATAATAAAGACAACTCCTTTTACCTCCATAACTTTATCTTTCATTCTTCAACACCCAAGACTTCAGCCATTTATTTAAATGTTTTACCTACAACAGGGGCGCCTGGGTGGCTCAGTCGTTAAGTGACTGCCTTCGGCTCAGGTCATGATCCCAGGGTCCTGGGATCAAGCCCCACATTGGGCTCCCTGCTCGGCGGAAAGCCTGCTTCTCCTCTCCCACTCCCCCTGCTTGTGTTCCTTCTCTCACTGTCTCTCTCTCTCTGTCAGTCAATTAAATAAATAAATAAAATCTTTAAAAAAAAATATTTTACCTACAACAGAAATGGACTTAAATTGCCATCTACCCAAACCAAAGCAAACACGAAGTGTTTATTCAACACTGTTCTTTCTGTCTTTTAGTTGATGATGGGGCTGCCGAAAAGGAAACCCTGCCAGAGTTTGGAGAGGGCAAGGACACAGGAGGACTTGTGCCTGGGAAATCTTTGGTTTTTGCAACACTGGAATTGTGTGTATGCATTCTAGTTAGACAGCTTCCAGAACTAAATCCTAAATTGACAGGTAGCCCAGGAGTAAAAGCTACGAAGCCACAGGTGCTGTCGGAAGATGGAAGTAGATTGGTGTCAGCTGCGTTAGTCATCCTCTCTGAACTTCCTGCTGTGTGCTCTCCTGAAGGTATGCTGTGGTATTTGACTGCTTTCCTTGACCTGGAGGGAGAGAAATGGTTATAGTAAATAAAGGAGATAATGGTTGCCAATCCTTTTCTCATTAAACTAATGCTGCCTCAAAGGTTTGGTGGGTTATGTTTTTAATCCTTTAAGATTAACATCACATTTTAGTAATTTGTTTTACTGAAAGGGTGAAGGTAAATAGAGAGATACCATGTACTATCAACAGATAATGCTTTTTTGGTTGACAGTATTTTTAACCTGTCAGTGGTAGTGATTTAGCTCTTGAGCATTTTTTGGTATAAAATACCTAATGGACTGTTCCTCTCTTGGTGATGACAGAGTTTGTCATCAGTTTGGAATCAAGTCCATACTTCTAATAGAGCATTTGAGGCTCCAGAAGGCTCTGCTGAGTCACTACCTCCTCCTGATTCCTTCTGTGTGAATCTTTAACCTACGAGCCTTCATGCTTATCCCTGTTGTCCATGGTGTTACTTGATCTGACGTAGCCCATACCTTCTCTCCTTTTTAAAATTTTGCCTTTCTGGGGTGCCTGGGTGGCTCAGTCGTTGAGCATCTGCCTTTGGCTCAGGTCATGATCCCGGGGTCCTGGGATCGAGCCCTGCATCGGGCTCCCTGCTCGGCGGGAAGCCTGCTTCTCCCTCTCCCACTTGCCCTGCTTGTGTTCCCTCTCTCGTTGTCTCTGTCTGTCAAATAAATAAATAAAATCTTTAAAAAAAAAAAAACCTCTTCTTTTTTTTGTCTTCAGTCTTAGGAATTAGGAATAATCTAGATAACAGTTCCCAGAGAATACTTGGTAAAACATTTCCATCTCAAAGGCACAGGAAAGAATGCAAGTTTCTCCAGAAAGGACTTTTGTTCCCTTTGGCCTGGATTTTTAACAATACTTACAAGCCTTTTGAGATAAAAAGGGAAGGTTTTAGGATTGATAAAAAGGATAGGTGGATTTTGAATTGTTTCTGGAGCCTCATTTCTGTTTTTGCAAAGATCTGTAAAATAAGGATAGTTGCTAGAGGGAACACAAGCAGGGGGAGTGGGAGAGGTAGAAGCAGGCTTCCCTATGAGCAGGGAGCCTGGTGCGGGACTCGATCCCAGGACCCTGGGATCATGACCTGAGCCAAAGGCAGATGCTTAACGACTGAGCCACCCAGGCACCCCAGGACAGTTGTTTTTAATTCCTCGAAGAATTGGTTTACATTATCTTCAATTTGCTTCTTTATATCTGGGAGATTGTCAACTAAGATGGAAATCAAAAGATTACTATGTTTTCGATTTAGAGTTGTGTGTCTTGGAATATTTTAGTAGGTAAGAGTTTCATTTTAGCTTAATGAAGGAATCCTCAAAAACAAACAAAAACATTCCCATCAGGTTCTGAAAATCAGCTTCTAATTTGGCCAACTTTTGACCATAGACTTACCTTGGGAATAGTTACTTGAGTTCCCTTGAACTCAAGAGGCATCCTCAAAGAGGATGCAAAAGATGTTTTATTTTCCTCACTCTTCTTGTTACTACAGACCGAGATCTGGGAGAGTGGACTCTCATAAGGATTATCATTCTTTGCTGGCTTCTGCCAGTTTCCCCAGGATCCCATGTGCAGTCCTGAATGGGATTTATGTAGAGAGTGTAGCTCCAGTATCTACCAGAATTTGGTGATGTTTTCCATTAATTTTAATTTTAGTTTCCTTTGTCTATTTAAAGAATAATAGCAATGTACCAGAAATTCCCTCAGAATCTTGTCAGCTCTGGGAGAGGCCCTTATGGGGCCTTCTTCCAAGGTAGATATGGAATCATTTGAATTGGTGTTGAAGGATTTGCACAAAACCTTTGAGAACAGTCTTTTTTCCAGTATCCCAATTTCTGGGCCAGTGTTTTGAGGATGGGCCCCCAGAGGGCTGCAGTGCAGGAGGTATTGTTTTAGATACCATTTGTGTCTAATTTTTTATTCCCTTTTTGCAATGAAACTTTCAGTGAAGCTATTGAGGAATCTTAAAGCCTTTTGGAAGCTTCTGCATAACATTTAAAATAGGTATCCCATTCTCTTTGTTTGATTTGAGAACCCTTGCTTTTAAGTGCACTTATTAAAAAATTGACCTTGTTTGATTGGCACTTTCTCCCTAATGGCCATTGTAATTCTAGGTTGCCTTTAGTAAGATTTTGCCATTCTTATAGGTCTTTATAGCTACAGAGACTATAGTTCGTAGACATAAAATAAACAGGTGTGTCAGAAGGTGGGGTGCTCAAGTTTTTGGAATTTAAGGATCCCATTTCTTTAAATATTTGGGTCTCTCAGAGCCAAACTAATCCCTAAGAGGGATGTGCTGCTGGGTTGGGGTTTGCACGGTGGTTTTACGGTGTACTTCGTTGCATAGACATTTTCTTGAGGTTGGTAGGTAATCTGTGTTAATCTAACCCATTCTGTGACCCATTTATCCTAGATAGGAGTCCTAGAGTCAGGTAGCAAGCACTCTTTTTTTTTTTTTTTTTAAAGATTTTTATTTATTTATTTGAGAGAGCGAGAATGAGAGAGTACATGAGAGGGGGGAGGGTCAGAGGGAAAAGCAGGCTCCCCGCTGAGCAGGGAGCCCGATGCAGGACTCGATCCCGGGACTCCAGAATCATGACCTGAGCCAAAGGCAGTTGCCCAACCAACTGAGCCACCCAGGCGCCTCGGTAGCAAGCACTCTTAACAGCTTTTATGTACTCTACCAGTGCCCACCAATTTTGCAGCTTTTTGGCTTCCTAGATTTCCATCTGCACTAGCCTTTACTTCATGTGCACATCAACATACAAGGAGTGACCAAAGAGATGTTACTGCAGACTGGCCAGTAGAAGGCCTTGTATAAAACACCAGCAAATCCCAATGTGGATGTGGGGGCTGGGGAAAGAACTGAACCAACAGACCCCAACAAATAGGGACTGTAGACTGGGATTCCAAATAAATGGAGAACTGCCGATGGAACCACCAGTCCACATCTGTGTTTCTCCTTTAACTGCCAAAGCCTTCAGAAGTTTCCTTCGGATCCCATCACTGCCACCAAATCTGTCAAGGAACAAAATTCAACTGAGTAAATTTTAAAGATCTTACTGGCTTTATTCAACGATTCATGAATTGGGCAGCATCCCATATACCAAATAGAAAAGAGCTCTGAAGAGCTGTACAAAATCAAAGATTTATAGACAGAGGAAGGACAAGGAAGTTACTAACAAAGGGTGCATTGTTTCGGGCAAAGCTACCTTCCTTAGGGGGATAGCTGGGGTCTGTCAGGCAGATTACCTCACTAGTGCTGACCATGTAATTCCAGATTGACTGGTTTAAGATTCCAGTCCTGGGAGAGGTGGAAACTGTAATTAAGTTAGGTATTGAGTCTGGGTTTGGTAACATGGGCTTCGCCCAGGTGACTCCATTTTGCTCTGTTGTCCCTTTTTTTTTTTTTTTTAAGATTTTATTTATTTGACAGAGACAGCAAGAGAGGGAACACAAGCAGGGGGAGTGGGAGAGGGAGAAGCAGGCTCCCCATTGAGCAGGGAGCCTGACGCGGGGCTTGATCCCAGGACCCTGGGATCATGACCTGAGCCGAAGGCGGACGCTTAACGACTGAGCCACCCAGGCACCCCTGTTGTCCCTCTTTTAACACCCGTTAGCACTTGGATTTTCACAATTAAAGATAAATTAGAAAAAAATTTAAATGCATTTTTTAGAGACTTTTCTTTAAAAAAAGGTTTTAACTCACAATTTTTATTTCCTTTTCAAATTTACATTACAGTCTGCATGTTAATATAAATGTATATTTACAGTTTATACTATTTTTGTTTCTTACCTAATTAGGTACAAATCAAGACCTATCAGCTCCTACTTTCCATTTTTCAGTATCCAAATCCAGCTGTTTCCTACCCGTACATTTACTCTTTAGTATCCTCTATTGTGGAAAAACTACAGGAAATAGACAAGAGAAAGCCTGAAGACACTACTGAACTTCAGATCTTTCAAGAAGGCATAAAGGTCTTGGAAGCACTGGTAGCCATTGCAGAAGAACAGCACCGTAAGTGTCAGCACTAAATTCATACTAAGTAAGAATCTGTCCCAAATCAGAAATTTAATGTTATTTTAAATGTAAAACATTCAGTTGGTCACTTAACATTATATTTCCACATTCACTGAAAGGCAAGTGTTAATTCCAAATATTGATATTATTTAGTGTTAATTTGAGAGGAGAGATTTAGAAGGATCCTTTTTCCCTTTCAGTGGGGAAAAATGTGTACAGATAAGTAAGTTTACAACTTTATATATTAAACACAACCTTCAACCCAGGACTTATATCATTTATTTACTTAACAGGTTCTCAGCTGGTGGCCTGTCTTCTGCCCATCCTCATTTCCTTCCTTTTGGATGATAATGCTCTGGGATCAGCAACTTCCGTAATGAAAAATTTACATGACTTTGCTTTGCAAAATCTCATGCAGATTGGGCCTCAGTATTCATCAGTTTTTAAAAATGTAATGGCTTCTTCTCCAGCCCTGAAAGCCCGCCTTGAGGCTGCTATCAAGGGCAATCAGGAAAATGTCAAAGTCAAGATACCAACATCTAAACATACTAAGAACCCTGGAAAGAATGTAAGCATCCAGTTAAAGACCAATTTCCTCTGATTTTTTTGTTTTAATAGTAAGCATCTTAATAAAATACTTGATTATTTCCTTCTCTTTGGGGACAAAAGTGACATTTTAGACACAAGTGCACTTGGAGGTCTGGTTGATTGTCTTAAATAGCTGTGACTTTTTGAAGTAATATCAAACTTAACATTTTTTGTGGGTTTTTTTTTTTTTTTTTTTTCAATTCAATAAAACCACAGAGCTCTTGCCAGGAATTTCAAGAAAGTGCTAAAGAATTGGAACTTACTAAACAATCCATTCCTTTAGAAATGAAATGGATTTCTTCTGACAGTCCATACACACACGGTATACTTAATACTTTGGTGTAGATATAGATTTGACTTTAAATTATCTGCATTTATATTGTATCCCAATTGCTAATTTAAAATTCTGCCTTATTCAGTAATTAAACTTTCTTCGATTTCTCAAACAACATAAATGATTGGAAACATATTTAGGAAACTTGGTTCAGAATTATCCAATATATAGTGGTACAAGTTAATTACAGCCCTACAGTGTGACTTAAGATCTGGTGTCTATAAATATCATGGCTTTTCACCACCTTTTGGTTTGGTTTGTATTTGGTTCACAGAATGGAAATTTTACTTATTTTAAATAGAGTAGGGCATCTCCAGTTTCTCACATGGATTTTCTGTTACCTCTGCTCCCCTCAATTTTGTTTATTTTCATTTATGACAGACATTCATATTAATGAGTTTACAGATTCATATCTATATTTAGGTCAACTATGGGTTTATATAAAACAACAAATTTAGATCATCAACGAATGCAAGTATGTTCTTTTATCATGAAACATATTTTAATATAGAAAAAAATCTAATGATAGAGTCATATTGGTTGAAAAAATATTTTTTAACTGCTGGTAATCACTGACTCTCCTTCCACTTCAGTGTTATATGTATTAATCAAGCACTATGTCACAACATAGCATTTCCCTGTTAAAAAATTAAAAACTGGAGTGATAGGGGCATGTTCAGAATTGAGAAAATACTTTGAGTCAAGCAGGAACAATGTGATCAGTACTCTATTTTATTATGTTTGTATATAAATACTCTTGTAAATTGTTCAAAATGAAAACACTTGACAAAATCTAACACTACAATTTTTTTTAATTTACATAAATAAAGCTAATTTTCTTTATCATTCTTGTATTTGAGATTATTTTGCCCACAAAATATGGCTGGTTAGTCTCACAGATTCCAGAAAATCAATTCTGTGGAGCAAATAATATCCCTTCTATGTGACTTGGCATTTTTCTCAGAGGATCCCTTTCTTTGGAGTATTCGTGCAATAGTTTGGATTCACTGTCTTCATAATTGTCACTTCCTAATTGTCACTTCTGTTTCCTTCACCTGAATGCCCTTCTCTCTATTGTATCTGGCAGACTCTCATTCCTTGTAAGCTTGGTTTAAATGTCACTTCCCCTTGTTAACTCTCCTTAACACTTCTTACCCTCCTCTTAACACCAAGCAAATTTTTTTTTTTAAGATTTCCTTTATTTGTGTGATAGCGCGCGCGTGAGCAGAAGCAGGGGGAGCTGCAGGCAGAGGGAAAGGCACGAAGTGGGACTCGATCCCGGGACCCTCGGATCATGACTTCATGATTAACAACTGAGCCCCAGGCGTCCCTACAGGTGTCCCTACACTATGCAAATTTAACTGCTTCCTCACCAGTGTCCCTGGAGTGCTTTACACATTCTTCTATGCATGGAACATCACACTGCATTTCAATATCTCCCTTTTAGACCACCTTCTCAAGGGAGGAATTTTTGTCTCATAATTGCCTTTGTGGCATCAACTAAATACTTAATCACTGTTGAACTGCACTGATGCAGGATGGATTTGAGCTCAGAAATCTCCTTTGTCAAGGCAAATGGGTGGTTCTTAGGATACAACCTACTGACTTTTGAGTTCTTTTGTCCGTTTGTTTCATTTAGTTCATTCTTAAACATTAAGATGTCTACTCATCATTTAGTGATAAAGTTTCCTGAACTGTTTGGATTAGAAGTGTTACATGAATGTCAGTAATTAATGAAAAAATATGTCCAGTGTCACGGAATTAGGAACTTTGAGTTAGGCACATTCCTATAGCCTTTTTCTTAAATGTATCACCTTGTTTAAAACAACACTGAATTAGTAAATATATTCTTAATGATAAGGAAATTAAGGCTTAACAGCTGGTATTTGAACCTATCTTTCAGATCCAGGGTCCATGCTGGAAACAAAAACAAGTGCTCTGGCAGTCCTGATTACATCAAACGTTAGCTTTTCTCCTTTTCCAAGGTTCCACATTCCCTCAGGAGCCTTCCTCACCCCTTGCCTAAGATGTTTTCAGTTGTATTTCTCCAAATTGCCACCAGAAGCTTTCTAATCAATAGGAAAAAGGTTTTTGTTTTTGTTTTTTTTGGTAAATTCTGTCCTCCACAGTTTGTATGGGAATAAACTATATGATTAGATATTGATGATTTAAGTTTTGATTTGTTTAAAGATGAATAATTTAATCTAAAAAAATACATCAAAAATTATATCTGCCTTTATTTTAGAGTCTCCAGTTGTGATACAGCTGTTGCACTTTAACCAGCTTGGTTAGTAACTTGGCTGAAACAAAATGGTGTATTTGTCTTGAGCTTTTTTTTTTTTTTAAGATTTTATTTGTCAGAGAGAGAGAGCAAGTGAGCACAAGCAAGGGGAACGGCAGGCAGAGGGAGAAGCAGGCTCCCTACTGAGCAAGGAGCCTGACGCAGGATTCGATCCCAGAACCCTGGGATCATGACCTAAGCCAAAGGCAGACACCCAACTGACTGAGCCACTGAGGCATCCTGAGCTTTTATTTTTCTAAGGGAAGAAGTAGAGCCAAGTTTACTAGTTGAGTCCCGTTCTGTTTAATCCACTGCTTAAAAACTTATCATGGAAAGACCTAAAAAATAACATTGGATATAACAGATTTCTATTAATAGCATTGAAGCAAAATATTACTTCTATAGGGCGCCTGGGTGGCTCAGTTGGTTAAGCGACTGCCTTCGGCTCAGGTCATGATCCTGGAGTCCCTGGATCAAGTCCCGCATCGGGCTCCCTGCTCGGCAGGGAGTCTGCTTCTCCCTCTGACCCTCCCCCCTCTCATGTGCTTGCCCTCTCTCATTCTCTCTCTCTCAAATAAATAAATAAAATCTTCAAAAAAAAAAAATATTACTTATATAAAACAGAAGTCAACCTTAAAGGGAACATTAAGGCACTTAAATACAGTAAGCTCTGTAAAGAGTTTTTAAGCTCAGTTGGAAGAGCATGCAACTCTTGATCTTGGGGTTGTAAGTTTGAGGCCCATGCTGGGTGTAGAGTACTTAAATAAATAAACTTAAAAAAAGATATAAGCATAGTGCTATGGGAGCCCAGAGAAGACTACCAAGGCTTCCAAGATAGACTTAATTCAAGTCCATGGAATATCATAAGATACAGGCTTAGAAAATAGTACTTACTTGGGGGAATGCAAAACCTGAACGGTTCTTTGTAACAATAATTTTGAAGAGAATTCCCTCTATGCCGTATCCTAAGAATTCCCTTTGTCTTTTTATTATAACTTCAGGACCAAGGTAATTACAGATCTTGCATTTTCTCCATCAGTTGAATATACTTTCCTCTTTACAAATAACTCGTTAACCCTGAGAATACCTCAATTTATCAGGAGAATTGTACCTCTATGTTTGCTAGAAATACAGTTCCCCAACTCCCTGCTGTCTGACAGTGATCATCCACCAATTAATTAATTGTGTCTTGTGTTGACTTTTCTCTCTTTTTTTTTTAAGATTTTATTTATTTGAGAGAGAGCATGAGAGCAGGGAGGGTCAGAGGGAGAAGCAGACTCCCCGCTGAGCAGGGAGCCCAATGCAGGACTCAATCCCAGGACTCTAGAATCACGACCCAAGCTGAAGGCAGCCACACAACCGACTGAGCCACCCAGGTGCCTGACTTTTCTGTTTACTAGTCTGTTTAACTGGTGCCTGCCTGTGCTTTGAGCTTTGAGGAAAATGGGAAATTTTGTGTTGTTTTGATTATATCCAGTACAGAACACAAATACAATCCCAAGTTCTGTATATTCAAAGGAGCTAGCTTTCTTTAATTGCATTTCTGTTTGGGTAGGACTCCTGCTTACTCTTCTCTTTGGGGCACTATAAAATGATGATTCCACAGGCTATTTGGGGAAAATTCTTATTACTTAATAGCCATTTTTCATATACATTCACATATAATTCTTTAAATAGATAATATATTCCCCAAAACCTTAGTTTTTGAAAAATTCTAACTATATTTTTTTAAGAAAATAGGCCATTGCTGCCAATTAAAAACTAATATTGACAATGTTTGCTTAATGGGATCAAAGTTTAATCACTTTTTTCTGAAAAAATATCTAGAGGCAAGAATAACTTGATAAGTGAATATATACATACACACACGTCAGAAGTAATGGATTGCTTTATAAAATAAAATATTCCAAGAAGGAACAAAAGTAATATTTTTTAAAGCAATTTAAAGTATGCCAGTGACACAGCAAGAGTAGTTTTTTTAGTGCTATTATTGGAGGTAGTGCAAGTGGCCTCAGAAAAAAACATGCATACACAGCCGAAACAGAGGCTCTCTACTAAACAATGAGGGCTATAAACCCCAGTATTTCTGTTGGTTACTTGTTTCTGATCGTAACAAAGCTTTGGGCCTTGTATTTTATAATCAAATGTTGGAGGAGTGCTCACCACTGATTGGTCTTCCCATACCTTTCCTCCCTTGTTTCAGGCAGTTACTAGAAACACATCTTCTAGGCCATTGTTTAAACACAAAAACGTCTTAAAAATAGATTTTCTAAGTTATGGAAATGCTTTTGTTTCAGCAGTCAACAGAGCTATTGTAAGTCAATATCATATGAAAAGTGGTTAGACAATGCACTTCCTGTTCTCCAGTCAGCTATGTTCTCCAGTCAGGGTACTCTGCCATTTGCTACATTTTTCACTGGAAATGTTTTTTCTTATCACTAGTAATGTGACCATTCTGATTTCTCAATGTTGTATCAAAAATGTAGAATTGTCTACAATACGAATATGTTTCCTTAGTTGTTTGATTAATGCTCTTTTTTTTTTTTTTAAAGATTTTATTTATTTATCTGAGAGAGAGAATGGGAGACAGAGAGCATGAGAGGGGAAGGGTCAGAGGGAGAAGCAGACCCCCAGCCGAGCAGGGAGCCCGATGCGGGACTCGATCCC